ACAACAATTTCCGGAAAAGCTAATTGATTATATAAAAGGATTCAATAAAAGAGTAATCCGTTTATTAAATACAGTATTTCCGGAAAAGCCAATTGATTATGTAAAAGGATGAAATAAAAGAGTATATAAAGTTAATCACACTACCATTATGATTAGCTATTATGACATGTTTATTGCTTAATTAAAAATGTTGAGTTTTTTTTCTTTTTTTTTAGAAAAATTTTAAATGCTGAAAAAAATTTTGAACAATTTTTTAGAGAATTTTTTGGAATTTATTTCTATTACTATAAATAACTATACATTACTTTAAACATTTTACTATAAATTATTATACATTATTCCAAATATTATATAAATTACTGTATTTGATTGTAAATTACTATACATGCCATGAATATTACTACAAATTACTGTATGTCATTGTAAATTACTGTACCTAAAAAATGTCACCATATATTTTATTACTCTAAATATCATATAAATTACTGTATATGATTGCAAATTACTATACATACCATGAATATTACTACGAATTACTGCATATCACTGTTAATTACTGCACCTAAAATGTCACCATATATTTCATTACTCCAAATATTATATAAATTACTGTATATGACTGTAAATTACTATACATACCATGAATATTACTGTATGTCACTGTAAACTACTGTGCCTAAAAAATGTCACCATATATCTGTATCCATTTTAAACTTATTACATGTTTTCGATTTTCATAATGATAATTAGCTTATATTTTTGGAATTTTTTTTCCTTCTTTTCTCCTCCTATTATTCCTCATTCTTTTATCATTTTCTCGTTTCATTTAACCTTCACAAGAAACTTGCATACATTACAAAATTACTACTTCCCTTCTTTTTTTTTCCCCCCCCTTTTCCTCATTCTTCTCCTCTTTCTGCTCAATTTATGATATTGTAAAATTACTACTTCCTTTCTTCTTCCTCCTTCTTTCTTCTCCTCAGTTGTTCAGATCACAAAATTACCACCTCTCTTTCCTCTTCCTCTTCCTCTTCCTCTTCCTCTTCCTCCTCCTCCTCACCATCATGTTTAGCCCATGATATTATAAAAATTACTACTCATTCAGATCACAAAAATATCCTTCAATCTTCTCCTCTTCCTTCTTCTCTTCCTTCATACTTAATCCTGTTTGTAAAATTACTACTTCCTTTCTTCTTCCTCCTCTTCCTCCTCCTCCTCCTCCTCCTCAATCGTTCAAATCACAAAAATATTATCTTCTTTTCCTTCTACTTCTTCTCATTCTCTTCCTCATTTTCGTGCTATCTTTTTCAATATTGGATCACATTTGCCTCATCTTATCATTTTTTTTTNTTTTTTTTTTTGCTTACATTTTATTCATTGTTACTTAAAATCTTTTTAAATATGTCTAAATTTTGACGAGAAATCAATTAGAATTTATAAATTGTAAACATAAGATTCTTTTTTTTTTTTTTAAATATTATAAAATTATTTAATCTAATTTTGAAACATTTTAGCTTATCTATACGACAGTTTAAATCTTTTGAAAGTGAAAAAAAAAAATTCCTTCACAATAATTTAGGTTCAAAAATTAAATGAGGAAGAAAAATAAATGGCTGCTGCAAATTATGCAAAAGTTTAAATATGCTAATAAATTTTAATATACCTATAAAATATAACCTGAATATTTTCTTTTTTTCTTTTTTTTTTTTTTGTTTTTTTTGTTTATCATAATGAGAGAATGGATGTTTTCGGTATTATTAAAATAGAATAAGACATAAAAACTTAACAAAAAAAAAAAAACAAACAAATAAATAAACAAAAGAACTTAACTAAGACTTATGTATTGGTCAGTAATAATCTTCGATCTCGGCATTTAATTATAGCGAAAGAATTAATTAAAAGAATCATAATTTATTTCATTCCCTAATTCCATTATTATCTTTTCAAAATATGATTACATCATTGTTCTAGAAAAAGCATATATTAATCTAATTGAAATTAATTAATCTATGCAAAATTTTTAGCTTAGTTTAATACAATTTGATTCAAAATAGATTTATTGTGTTTTTCAAATTTTTCATTAAATGAAATGTATTTTCAAATTAAATTTTCAATTCTTTAAATATTCTCTGAGTTTAAACGATATATTATTTGAAGAATTTTGAAGGATGATAATTTTTATGAGTGCAAAATTTGAACAAATATAGGAAATAGAATAAATTGTCCAACATTTTTGTTTTCTTTTTTTTTGCTTTGTCTTTGTTTTTTAATCTAAACTTGATAAGTAATGAATTGGTTACATATTTGCAAAAAATCTTACATTAAATTTAATATTAAAAAAAAATTATTAAAAAAAAAATGTATTAGGAAGAAAATTATTTTGGAAAATTTTCAAATAATTTTCATTCAATCATAGGTGTAATTAAAAAATTACGGATAGCCAAAGAGTTGAATTGTAACAGAGAATTGAAATAAGAAATGAACACAAATATGTATACTTGATTTCTTTATCATTATAATTTAAATTTATTAAGTTATTAAGTTTAATGTTGCCTTTTTTTTGTTTGTTTTTTTTTTTTGCGTTATATGAAGCGAATAATTGCAATATTGTTTTTTAGCATCGTATATTTACAGATTAATTGTTGTCATTTTTAAACAATAAACAATAAAAGGATCAAGACAACAATTATGGTGGATATGCAACAAATTATCGAACTTATCTTAGCAATTTTTTTACCGGTATATGTTGATATATATATATATATATTGTTGCTTTATAATAAATAAAATATTCGATTAAACATTTAAGGGAATGGAATTAAAATCAGAAATGATATATGAATAAAAAAAAGAGGAAAACGATTTTGTCTAATTGCTGATAAGAATTCAATCAGTCATTATTTGTCATTGAAAAATAAAACTTAAAGTTAAAAAAAAAGAAAGAAAGGAAAAATTTTTGTCCAAAATTAATCGGCATAATTAATGCACATCATTTTACGGTCTGATCATATAATTACCTATCTTAATCATATCATAAAGACCTATCCTGAGTATTTTGGTGGCTCTCAAGCAAATTTTTTTCTGCCTACAAAACCGCGGGAAAAGCTTAACGCTATTTTTTGTATTTTTCACAAATTTTAATCAATCCTGCTCTTATAATAATGATTTTCTAAGTCTTTTTTTTTTTTGTAACCAATTTTCATTTACCATACTATAAATAAGCATACCAGCTTTGCCTTAAATTAAAACCTCCCAAATATTAAAATCTATGAATCATACATCATCTGAACACTAAATAATGATGCAATTAAAAATTAGATTATTCACTTTTTCAAAGAATATTTCATTTATTTGTTTTTATGAAAGGATAGTATATATACGTATATGAATACGGTATTGGGTAGAATTAAGTTAGGTCTCATGTAGTCACCTATTGGCCTATCCCT